CCCAAGCCCCAGCTCTGGCCCACAGCGGAAGGCACGGCGACAGCCGGGGAAGCGCGGGTTTCCAGCGCTTTATGGCTGAGCGACCCCAACCGCGCCCTCGAGCCTCTCGCCGTCGCTAGGGGGCGGCCCTGCGCCCTCCGCTCGAGGCTCGTCTCCCCGCCTGCTTGCCAAGGAAGACGAGATGCTGTCCGAGCAAAACGCAAACATTTTCAGAAATAACCTAGCTGCAGAAGTGGCTGAGGGAAAGGGCATGCTCCTTCTCCTTTACCTAAAAGCCCCTGGATTTTGTTTGGAGGCATCTGAGGGGTCTCTTGGCCTCAGCACCCATAGTCCTTTGCTCTGTCTCCTTTAAGAGAATACATCTGAGTTCCATGTACCTAATGCTGTAGCTGCAGAAAGGATGGGCCAGAGGGCAGCTCAAGGGCAACCTTTTCTCCACAGACCATGTAAGCAGAAAGACATTTCCCTTGGCCAGGCCCGACACTAGTCCCCTGTTCCCATCTCACACAGCGCATTCACTTCATACACTATGATTAGGCAGGGTAGGGGTGACTTTGGGTAAGGCAAAGATCTTCTCTGAACCTCAGCTTTTCCTCTCAAAAATAGGAATAATAAACATACCATGACCCACTTTACCTCATAGCGTGTTTTGAAGCTAGCATAAAAATACAGACAAAAGTCACTATTTAGGGCAGGCGATGCAGATACAGGGCACTCACGAGGCCTAACCTTAATGCGCTCCCTTTCAGTTAAATCTTACTAAAATGTGGTTTCTTACAGGATAGCTATGTTTTGAGTTTCTAGTTCAGTTATAGTTTACAAAGTAAGTTAATTCTTTTTAAAGATATAGCTACCTTCCTTAAGTATTAAACAAAGAACTTTTAGAAAAAGGCGTAAATAGCATTTATTAACATCGCTTAGAAATAAACCACATCTGGCAATAAATTAGCACGAACTTTTCTGGCCAGAGTTCTGCCAAAGGTGCTGGGGAAAACCATAGGCTATTGCATATTTTTAGAAAATCAGGATAAATTATATAAATTATATATTTAAAAAGAAATCAATCTATTTCATTAACTCGACAGCATATAATAAATAGATAAATAACAGTTGATTGCCATTAGAAAAATGAGATTCTTAAATTACATTTACATTATAGGTATTTACATGTACAATATGCACAGAGACATAATCAGATCCTCAGGCGAGTCTGGGATTTCTCAGGACACAAACTCAAAGGGCAGTTCGTTTTCTATGTTGTTGAAGGAAGATTTGCCGTTGAGTTTTCTGGGGTCTTCTGGGGTCCACACTTTGGCTGTTCGGATAATATTCTGTTCTTTGAGTTGTTTTTCATCAGTCCATGAGAGAGAGTGTCCTGCAAGGGGAGGGAGGCCATAATCCGGGTCGCTGGGGGAGGGGGACCCTGAGGAGGTGAGAAGAGAAAACAGACTGTGAATGTCCAGCTCTACTCCCAGAGGAGCCCTCCTGGGCGCCCGCACAGGCGTCTTAGGTCACAGGGGAAAGACACTCTTCCTCCACCCCTCAAGCCCCCAGCGCCCCCTCCCAGGAATCCCAGGAGCTACAAGTCTATCCAGAGTATTGTGCCCTTTGAACCGCGGTCAACGTGGCAGAAGAAAACCTGAGAAACGCCAGCTCGCGCTCAAGGTCGCCGGTGCCCACCCACCATCTCTGTCTGTCCGTCGGGCGGCTTTGTCGGTCTGTTCACCCAGCCCTTCGGGGACCTCCCCGCGCCTGTCCCCGTCTCCCTGAGCGGACATGCAGACGCACTTACGGGTGCCCCGATGGCAGATGATGACCTTCGGGCCTGGCT